TATCTTGTGAAACTTATCTAAACTAATCCAACCTTAAAATAACATTCATTCATTCGCGTATATCCTTTCAAAAAAAAAGAAAGAGAAAAAGAAAAAATTAAAAAACTAATTCGACAATTTCGTCTATCTATCTATACCCATCATTAACCCTATCCCCTACATGTAACGCGAGCGCATCCATTCCCATCCCATTTACACGTACGCATGCATATTAACGGCCGCGTATAGCCGCACACCCATGGGCATATCCCCGATCGACGAGCGAAGTTGGCGCGCGGCTACTTTGCACCGCAATCTCGCGTGTCGCAATATTTCATGTCGCAATCTCGAAGCATTTATCGAATGGTAATTTACAATACAGCGCAATACGGCCGCGTTTCCCTCGGCCTTTCCATCAATAATACACCGTTAATTGCGTTATCCAATGAACGGCATCAATTATTAACCCGAGCGGGCAACGAATAAAGCTGCGGGCAGCCGGCCGGCTGGATACACGCGGCAGACGTATCCTGCAGCCTGCTTCCTGCTGGCAAATATCGAGCCCGAGTTACGAATTTGGAATCGTTTCTAAATCGATAAGGATGGATCGTGCTCTCGGATGGGCCGCGTCGCGTCGTCTGTGTCGCGGTGAAATCCCGAATTTGATCGGAATGTCGACAAGGGGAGAGGGGGGAGGGAGCTTATAATATGCTCCATCCGTCCACCGACCAGTGGTTCTTCTTTCCCCTTCTTTTCGCGAGAATCTTGGCGTATAAAGATTGGTTGAAGATCGTTGAAGGGAAAATTCGTTGGATTCGATCGAGGATGAAAATTAAAAAAGAGACGTTGTTTTGAAAAATTTGACGAGATTTGATGAGAATCTTTGGTATCGATAAATTATGCGGATCGTATGAAGAGGACAAGCAATTTTGCGGGGGAGATCGATGGAGGAATCGTTTGAAGCAACGCGTGAATTTCTCCTAGAGAATTGAAATTTCTATATCCGTCTTTTTTTCAAGGGGTTTTTTCTAGAAAAAAAATATTCAATAATTAAATCTTTAGAGTAAAATCCAACTAAAAAATGAAAACCACATAAACTCAATATCGTGAATATAATGATAAAGCTTTTTATTGGATAAATATAATATATCCCATAATATATTCGTATATCTTGAATTCCATTTATATAATGTATAAATCTAACCAACACATATTAATGATTTAAATATTGCATGAATAAATAAATGCAAAAATACTAATTCATTAAATTCTTAATGATATTATTCTTATTATAAATCCTAATTGCCTTCAAGTTGAATAAGAACCACTGGTCCTAGACAGACGGTCCTACTCCGCCATGCAAGTGTTAATTCGTACAGTCTGCTGGTTTTCGTGCGAGACACCAGATTTTCTGGAAGAATTTATTTATTCATGCGTCAGACTGCTCCGCGATGTAGGTTATCGAACGGAAATAACGTAATTGTCCCATTTCGCGATATCCGTTGGTCCGACGGTCCGAGACCGGTTCTGCATTTAGAATCGAATAAACCGTGGCTAACGTTTAATCGTTATTCTCGAGCGAATATTATCGATCGCTCATCTCATCCCACCAATCAATTGTAAACGATCGAGCATTCTTTTCTTTTCTTCTTTATTTTTTTTTTTTTTTTAAACCGCTCGAAATTTATCTTTCGAGAGCGAAGAAAGTTGGCTATTTTTCTTTTTTTTTTTTTTTTTGATCGAATGAATATTCAACGGAGACGGAAGATTAAAAGGAAAGAATCTAAAAAATAATTTTTACCGTTAACATTTTGATGATTGATACGGGGGAAATTGGAAGGGGGAGGGGGGAAAAAAAAAGAGGAAAAAAAAAAAGTCAATTTCCCTTGCATTACGTATTCTCCCGCGCTGAATTCTTTATCGCCTTTATTTTAAACCTCGAGCCAGTATTCGATTGCTGAAGCGCAATGGAAAACAGAACTACACGCATTATATAGTCATGAATGTGTATGTTATGTTGAACTGCATCGAGTTGTGTTCCATTCACCTTAGCATTCTGGCACGCCTATTTTATTTATACACTTTATTTCATTCTGACAATGGCGGTTTACTCTTTTTCAATACGAAACATCCTGCATAATGGATAAAAAAGTGGATTGCATCATGGGATGACGGATAGAGCGGTGAAAAACTTTAATGAATATTTGTCGTCCGGGACGCCGCCGCCGCTGTCCATTCCATAAAGAATCACTTTATAGTTTATACTTTTGGTCGCGATTCGATCGATTCGTTCACGATTCCTGAACCAAATTTCGTTCCAAACTTCGAAAATCCCCTTTCCTATTCCTCCTCTTTCTCTCTCTCTCTCTCTCTCTCTCTCTCTCTTTTCTTTTTTCAAAAACAGACAAAAGTTCGATAAACAAACTCGAAAGATTTCTTCTCCCCGTTTTTAACGCTTTCGAGCTCAAAGTTTAACGCATTTTCAAATTCATCATCCGCTTGCGCAAACTTCAAAACTACTACCCCCTTCCCTTCGCTCGAGGAAAAGCGAAAAGAAGGGGATGAAAAACGAGAAGAAGGAAGACTCCACTCCTCCTCCTCTCCCCCCCTCCAAAAAAAAAAAATAAACGTTCGCAATGGGAAGAAAT